GAGGCAATGCTATAAGCAATTCTACTATTTTTCCAGGCAAAACCTGTCAAAGAGACTATTTGCTGTACCTGTTTCCTGTTCCTTAAAATGAATCTGAGCGACTCTGCTCACACTGTGGACCTTAGTCCTCTACATCTCTCATCTGCGTGTAGCTCCAGGAGGCAGCCAAGCACAGTTTTTAACGCACCTGTGGTGTGATACCAAGTCTGAACACCTAAAATCTCTCTGACTGTATAATTTTCCAACCTCAGAAAGCTTCTAGGTTTGGGTTGTCTGCAGGAAGATTTAATTTCCAGATCACTGCAACTGCTGCAGCTTTTGCTGACCTGGACAATAAATGCCAGGAGAATTCCTTCGTCATCCATTAGCCATATCAGAACCTCCTCATGGCCCAAGTCCCATATAGTGACCAGACATAAGGCACTTAAACACTGGGCCAAATGACCTGCAAAAGCAGAAGTGAAACCAGTCTTCTCATACTGAGCAGCAAGCAGTTGTCAGTGTTGAAATTTAGGATCTGTTACTATTCTTATCCCTCCTTAACCTTCTTGCTTCTCTACTAAAAAGCAGTCATCACTGGTATGTGCATAATTTTTCCCCCCATAGAGATAGAAGGAATATGAAGTGTCAGACTGACAAAAATATTTTCTATTAAAGAGACAAAGCAAAGAAACAAGCACTGGCAAAGTACTTTCTGCAAACCATTTTCTTTCCTATAAAACAGGGGTATGAGAATGGGCATGCTTTCTTAAATACAAAACCTATCAGCTTAAGAGTTATGCAACAAGAAATAGTATAACAGTTTTTTTAAAAAATCTTTACCACAGGTTATCGGTGTCAACACTGTCATAGCACACAGTAAATCCAGCAATCCCATCCTCTCAGCCTTGCTGCCTGATATTTCTTTCTACAGCTTACTATGTCTTTAATAGATGACATAATTCTTTGTGTTTTCACTTTTACAGGAAATTGCTTGGCTCCTTGGAGGCTAACTAAATGACAAACACAGTAATAACAAACCCACTGATCCTCTTCAACAGGAATTGCAGAGAAGCCCTGTTGACTCAAACACACACGAGTGAAACTACATGACTGATTTGAAAGGAAACAAACTCTTTTGTGGAGGAAATACTGATGAAAACTTATTTCTGTGAAAAACTTAAAAATTGAGGATCAAACAAATCCTGCTAATTGGAAACTTAACAGTTATTGGGAAGAAAGATCTGTTGGAGAATGCAAGCAAAAGAAAGTGGAAAGAGCTGGCTTTATCAGGGGAATGGAAGGGAAGTATCTGAAGTCTTGCCTCTAGAAGTTTGTTTTTACTAATGCCTTTTTGTCAATTTAACCTAAAATCAAGTTATTTACCCTTCTGACTCTAATTTCACTTTCTATGGATGAATGTCACTCATATAAGATTACATTTCACATATCCAGTGATACTAAATGGGACTAATTTCTGCGTTGAAACACTTTGAGGTCTGGTCTACACAAAAATGACACCACTTACCACAGTCTAAGTTCCCATTCCTGTCAGTGGACACCAGCGGAGTCTATACAGTCAGTGTGGAGCAATTCAGCTAACACTAAACTATGCTGAAAGTAAATTCTCTTTTTGGCTTGCTCACTCTAAATACCCAGTGTTAAATTCAGGTACCTACAAACATACATCTATTGCCATCTAGGACAACACAGGACATCCCTCTGAACCTCCAGCTGCTGGACCAAAAGGACCAAAAGGTCCTGTGCAAAATCTGCCCACCCTACTGGGTGTGTTGTATTCTCTGTGGCATCTCAAGTGGCATGAGAATCTTGTGTTGAAACAGCTACCTCAGCCCCTAGGCCATATGCTGATGTGGAGATACTTAGATTTAAGGCATGGATTTTTTTTTAATATTTTTGCTTTAAAACACTTCAGCTAATTTAGGTTCAAAACCATTTTTATTTGTAATGGTAAAATAAGGTAAAAAAAGGTGATAGGTGGTCTTTTTCTATATGATAGTCCTTCAGTAGACTGCTAGAATAATCCTCTGTTGATGGGTGGGCAAGATTCAGACCCCTGCTACAACGCACACGTTACCTTGATTTCAGTGGTATTTCTGCATCAGTCACAAGGCCTTTTCTCTTTGCCAGGAAAGTACTAAAAATATAAGTAATAAGATGCTTACAAATGGCCCTTCCCTGAAGAGAAAATGTGGTGGGTTGACCCTGGCGAGATGCCAGGTGCCTACCAAAGCCTCTCCTATCACTCAGCTGGAGAGGTGAGACAAATTATAATGAGATGCTCATGGATCAGGATAAAGACAAGGAGAGATCACTCATTAACTACTGATATAGGCAAAACAGACTCAACTAAAATTTATTACCAGACAAATCGGAATAGGATTACGAGAAATAAAACCATCCTTAAAACACCTTTCCCCCATCTCCCTCTTCTTCCCAAACTCAGTTTCACCCCTAATACTCTAGCTCCTCCCTTCAGAGGGAGGGGAGTGAACTCTGCGGTCAGTTGATCGCACATTGCCTCTGCCAACCCTTTCTCCTCAGGGGGAGGACTCATCTTCCTCTGTTCCAACATGGAGTCCTTTCCCACAGGAGACAGTCCTCCATGAACTTATCCAAGATGAGTTCTTCCCCTGTACTGCAGTTCTTCATGAACTGCTCCAACATGGGTTCCTCCCATGGGGTGCAGTAACTCAGGAACTGACTTCTTGAGCATGGGCTCCTCTCTCCACAGGTCCTGCCAGGAGCCTGCTCCAGCATGTGCTTCTCACAGGGTCACAGATTTCTTCAGGCATTCACCTCCCCTGGCGTGGGATACCCAATGGGCTGCAGATGGATCTTTGTTCCACCATGGACCTTAATGGACTGCAGTGGCACAGCTGACTCACCATGGTCTGTCTGCACCACAGGCTGCAGGGGAATCTCTGCTCTGGCAATTGGAGCACCTCCTCCCCCTCTTTCTCCACTGACCTGGGTGTCTGCAGGATTTTTCCTCTCACATATTCCCACTCTTCTCTCCAGCTGCTGTTGTGCAGTTGTTTTTTTTTTATCCCTTCTTATATACATCATCCCACAGGTGCTACCACCATTCCTGATGGGCTCAGCCTTATCCAGCAGTAGCTCCAGCTTGGAGCTGGCTAGAATTGGCTCTGCTGGACATGGGGGAAGCTTCTGGCAGCTTCTCACAGAAGCCATCCCTGTGACCACCGACTACCAAAAGCTTGCCACAAAAACCCAGTACAGGAGAAAACACCAAACAGCTTATCAGAACTGGCATACACAAAGTGGTTTTACCACAGTTTATGGACAGCAGTGGAAATGTGCATATTGGAAGGGGAAAGTTGTGTGTGGTTAGTGCCTCCCATGGTTTTGGTAGCAAAAGAATAAAACCACTGCAATTAGCCTTTCTCCGAGCAGTAGGGCAAACTAATGTTTTTTAAAGGCAATCTCTCACAACATGAGCAGGACATACCAATTTCTGAAGTCCTTGACTTTTTTAGAAATCTGCCTAAATTTTTTTCTGAAACTGGTATATATCAGAATACTTTCTAATTCACTTCCAGGGAACCAAGGCACTAGGCATCACTGAAGAAATGCTAAAATTCAGCCAAAACAGAATGCAATATGACTTCATGAAAAAGGACTCTCATGGGACCCGGATAGATGTTTATTACAGTGTATGTTCCTTATGATCAGTTTTGACAATGTACTGCGCCAGGAAAACCTAAAGGCCCGATTTAAACTGACCTTGAATGTATAGTTCTTTAAGGGAAACACTTCACAGCTTCTAAATATTGATTCATCTTTAAATGAAACAGCACAAAAATTAGAAGGGAAAATGTGGTATACTTTGGTTAGGAAACCTCTAACCTCAAATTTAGTCAAGCATCCAAATGTGAGTTATTTAATCTAAGCTTCTTGTCTAGGCCCCATTTACAGTCAGTGATGAGAGGTAATTGGGTAGTAAGTACTTGCAGAGGGTAATTCAACACACCTATTTTAAACACATATTTTAGGATAAAAAGAAGTAGTGTTTGTGGGTGTGTCTCTCTCTCTCCATTGACTTAAATGAAAGACTAGAATACTGCTGCAGAAGATACCTAACTCTAAATGGGTAAATGAGATTAAAGAATCCTTTCTTATGTGTTAGATTTTAGCATGTATATAAAAAAGGTGAGAGAGAGGGGAGGGGAGAGAAGGGGACAGGAAGGGAGGGGAAAAAAATAAGAATCAAACATATAATTACAAATAAGGCTAAATACTAATGAAATAAATGTGGAGTTGGTTGTTATTGGATTACAGAACAAACCAAGAAAAAGGCAAAATTTCGTATTAGCAAAGTTTATATTGTGAAGGTAGATCATAAATTGAAAATAGCATCGATGATGGATATTGAGAAGTGTAACTGAGATCATAATGTGTCCCTCTGTAGTGTAAAAAAACCTAACAGAGTACACAATGGTTTTTTTCCACTTTCTATTCAAAGCTGAATTTCACCCATGGTAAATTAGAATTCTCTGGAAACTCGCCCATAACCTTTAAACTTTTCTGGTTGATGATCTTAATACACAAAGGCTTTATACCAGTAAATTATGTCTGGATGGGAACCAAACTCTGACTCCTACTCCATCTCCATGCCACAACATTTTTGTAAAGCTGAACAAACATATTACACTGAACCCCAGGCTTTGAAGAGTAAACACCAATACACTACATTAACACAAAACAGTCCAAAAATAAGACACTTATAGCCAAATTATTTCTGCAATATGCAATAGCCAAACAATGCTATATCTTTACCTGAAAAGACACTGCATAACTGTACTTTATATTTAAGTGGTGTCTCAAATGGATTTCCATTCTTGTTTCATTTTTTCCCTTATGCATTCATTACTAAAAATAAAACAGAATTTTAAGCCTGACAGTCTTATGTCAGAAACTTCCTGTGACAACTATTAAAAGATCATCATCGCATATTGAATTTGAAGAAATTAGATTACCTGAAAAGACTTTTGTTATCTGGCATAATCCCTCTTTTCTGCAAAGGAAATGCTGGATTTCTGGAAGTAGGTTTACCTGTACATAAGAAGAGAAGCTTTAATGATTTTATTCAGAAAAGTGTTCTTTTTCCTTCAAAAAAAGGAAAAAGCCTTCAATGGGTCTGTGTTCAATTTATCAGAGACACCTCAAGCAAAACTCCTGCCAGCATCAAAAGGAAATTACAACTTTGCCATCCCTGCAGTGTGGGATAATGAAGTTAAGGTGTGGACTCTTCCTCCATGGCATCACAAAATAAAGAGACCTACATCTCTCCTCCTGGCTGCTGAGCTTTCACCTGTTTCCTGTCCCCTTTTTAGTTTCTGCAGGTTCTCTATTCTCTGCCACTTACCAACCACTGCCTCTCCCTGCGTGGAAATACCCTATACCTCTTGAATGGCCATGCTTGGGATCAGTGGAAAGCTAATGTAGCTGAACCACATCCAGGCTCTGCAACAAAGAACTGTGTTGCACTGTGGTAGGGACACGCCAGCAGCGAGTAATGTTACTCAATATTTAAAGTTATCTGAGGGTCTGGGCCATCTGGTTTAAGTCCCCACTCTGCTGCAGACTTCCTGAGAGAACTTGGACAATTCCTTTGATCACCTTGTGTCTCAGTTATTCATGTGTGAAGCTTCTGGACATTGCAACGTGCTGTAAAGATTATTATATTGCACAGCATTAGAGGCTCAGATATGATAATATAGGCAGAATGAGCAAAACGCAGTTTGCAGAAGCCTGGGATATTTTATGATCTGAGCCCATAATTCAAAGTATGTATATTTCTAGCAAACTGGAACTGCTACAAAAATTCCAGTTTGAATACACTTGGATAAGGCATCCTGTCCCAGGGAATCTCAGTGTACACGCTCCTAGGTCTGACTTCTGTGGACACAAATTGTTTTTTGTATCTTCATGAACTTTATACCTGAGGCACATTCTAAAAGCAGTTCCATTTCTCCCTGTATCTCAAGTTGCAGTCTATAATTAGGGCCTTACATTATTATCTGTGCCATTTTACTTGAAATGCAAGTCAACTGTACTATAGCTTGGTCAAATCTTTTCAAAGACTTACATATTTTTATTAACAGGGCAGTTGTTTATTTAGACATTACATATCTAATTAACTTAAACAATGCCCACAACACACTCAAACGGGGAAAAAAAAAAGAAAAAAGAAAAAAGAAAAAAAAAGCAATCCTGAAAATACCAAGAAATATTGGCCCTACTGACGCTTTGGACCATGAGTAAGCAGTCTGCAGTGCCAGACCAAGGAACTTCCTTGAAGGCCCTGGAGGAGAACACTGGTCTAGCTAACACATTATCAATTGTTGGAGCACTGTCACTGTTTGGAGAGGTGCCTAAATTATGTTTACAAAAGAGCAATTACAATAGGTGAAATTCAACGGTGACATAAGATGTGAAGCCTAAATTTGTCTAGCACTATCTTCTGCCTGTGCTACTATTCTGAAATATTGTGTGCATTTTCTAGTTGTTTCTTCCCATTTCTAAAGTCTGTTTTCCAATGGGATAAATTGCTTAAATTTCCCTTGACTTCTGTGGACACTTTTGCTGCCATGTCGGGTGATGGTGGCCAAGAACACAAAAGTTCAAGCTCAAGAAGAGAAGAGGGAAACTTGACACCCAACTGTAACAATTTTCAGTATTTACACTGAAACACATCCAAACTAACCTACTATGTCCAAATGAGAAATTGCTTTTGATCATCGGGTGTGATATAAAGAATTAAATGTTGGTATCTGAAAAGTATTTCCCAGCAAATAGAAAACATGAAAAACCTTTTTGCATTGCTGCTAAATCATGGTGTTGTGGTATAAAATAAGCATTAGATAATTTTCTTTTTATGCGGGCTGAAAATTTGGCCCAGCTTGTCCATCCATTCCCACAAAGTATAACACAATAATCACATACCTTCTGGAACAACTCTAGATTATGCAAGTCTTCTGCTTGAATGCAGCCAATACCAGCATTTTTTCTGGAAGATAAGCAGATCAGAAGATCCCAAGTGTTTATACCACCTATCCAGAAAGAAAAGAAGCAAATTGAGAAAGAAAATATCATGCAATTCCTATTTGTGCAAAAAATACATAAGAGGTAAGTCCTAAAGAACACTAAACTGTCGGAGTGCTAAGTACATGAATTGCTACAGCTGGCAGCAGGATAAAAGATATATTTGCTACCAAAGTTCAAGCTTTGAAACTATATTTAGGTGTTTCACAGTTGGCATTTCCTGTTATCCCTGCCTGCTGATGTCCAAACCCTGCTATTTAGCATTCAGAACATAAAAAGTTCACTAACATGATGCTTCTTTAAGTTGTTCCCTTTTTTATTTAACTCTTCACAATGCTTACTTATAACATATATGCAGTATATGCAGTATGATCTTCTGAGGTCTTTCTTTATTAGGAACTAATACTGGTCATGCAAACAGCAGGAATTTCTAGCCTGAATTTTGGTGTAGTGGCTTCCTAAATATTAGACATCCAACTGCCAGATCTAGAACTGATGTACAAGTGGGAATTAAGACCCTGGCTTCTGAGCTAGTGCTGATGCTTCCTTTCTGGGGCAAAACTGACCTGTGAGACCATAGGGTTCTATTATCAGAAAACAAGTGACACCAGAATCAGACAATAGCTGCTTGAAGAAGAGACAGAACTAAATTGCACCAATTAAAACACCACTATGAATTAGAAGATACAGATAAGTCCTGAAGATTGCCCAGACCTCAACATATGCTGCAGTGTAGAAGTGCCAGTGTTCCTTCAAATGAGCTTGGTCAGCTCCCTCACATAGTTATTTGTTTATCTGGACAAGTTAGAGGTAATTACATCTCACAACAGAATTATTACATCTGTTGAGGTCACAATGAATATGTTTAATAAAGGGTAAATCATTTAACTGACAGGATGACAATTAGTAATAACAAACTTCCAAACAAAAAGGCCAGCCAGACAAGCTGTACAACATCCAAGGCAGAGTATAGCACCAGGTCTCAAAGCTCCCTGCAGGACAGCTATTTCAGTGACTGGTTGGTTCTTTTTCCCAAGGTTGGGAAGATTATATGCATATTATTCCATTTTGTGCTATCCATCTGTGATGCCTTCCTAATTTGATTTGATTACTCCCTAAATTTGGTTCTACCAATGGCCCACAGAGGCATTTATTTTATTTATTTCCTTTATTTCCTTCTCTGAAATGTATTTTTTCCCTATCCCAATCTTGATTACAAATGTCAAGCAGGGTGAAGATTTCACTTAAGGAGATTTAACACTCAATTTACGTTAAGTACAGTAATGAACTGATTGTACAGAATGGATCCAGGACTATGAAAGTAACTATCACTTTTTTATGTTTATAAGCAGTGTGACAAAGCTGAAGAGATCTATTTTCAGTTACACTACACTTATTATTGCAATGAGTTCTTCAATTTCACATTATGAGAACCAGTATTATGGTATAAAAGTAATTAAGGTATATGAAATTTAGGCAAGATAGATTCTCTACATGCTTCTTTGTGAAAGAAACAACAAAAAACCTCTGTAGGTAAATAAAAATGTCACAGATAGCAAACAAATGAAGCATTAAAGAAATGTAGAAGCAAATACTTCATTTTAGTGCAAAAGATTGGCAATGCTAACAACCTACTCGATGACCTCACCAGCTATGTAATTATCAGATAAGCAAGATGTTATGCCTCGGACTAGTAAACACCTTTGAATAAATCATTATAATTATATATAAAGCACAATGCCTAGTTGTGTGCAAATTGAAAGGGAGCTGGAGGGAACTCCATTTCTCAGAAGCAGCTCATTTCCTTCCCTTGTTTATTGTGACATATCCTGTCCTGGGATGAATTTGATCCCTGACACCAAAGGATATGCTGCACTGTGTAATTGCCTTTAGGATACATCAGAGTGATCAATATGAATGTACTGAAGAGAAGAAGAGGAAAAAGCAGCCTCAGATCTGGTGTGTTTCTGAGCCAGTGCCCAGGAAGTAGAACAGCTCAGGAGGGCTTGAATGTGTGCCATTATTTGTGCTTTCTATTTAGAGTAATTAAACATCTAGCCAGTTATTTCAGTACAGAACAATCAGAACTCAAACATGTCTATTTATAGATATCAGGAGACTTCCTATTAGAAAAACAGTGTACACCTAGTGCTGTCTCTCAGATTCAGGCAAACAGAGCATTATGACTTCTATTTAAATATATCGATACATTCCTAATCAACTACGCCTGGAAAAACATTCTTGGAAAACAAAAATGAAAGAGGCATGTGGTACAATAGCTATTTATTCTAGAGCAGACTCCTCTGTGAATAGATATAATCTAGAAACTGCCCATGTCACTCCTCCTACAGCTTAACTTTTTGTAGAAAACATTTATGATCATGATACCAACTGACTGTCTTCCTTCTGCAAATTTAACAATTATAGAACTATATCATATACAAAAACTGCTAGTATTATTAATATTGTAATAAAACCAGTGGCCCATGCAAAGAACCCCAAGCTATCAGGCACCATGTTTTAACATAGAAGATCCCTTTCACAGAAATTGTTTTTTAAAAAAAAGCAAGACACATGAACTAAAACACTTTAAAATAAAAGAGAGAAGAAGAACAAAATGCACAGTATTAATAAAGGTCATCTGAATGGAAAGACTAATTTCAAAATGTTTTTAGAGACTTTAACAAAGAAGCATTAATAAATCCATAATATTCCATCTTCAAAAAACACAGTGTTTTACTGATTTCCTGCAGACTTCAAACCAGAAGCAATCTTTGACAGGACATTTGAAGGGGAAGGTTAAAATGAATACTTCATATCTGAACAATTTAATTATTAGCAATTTGCATGAAGCTTTTTCCATATGAAGGACTTTGTCTGTAGTTATGGAAATCCTTTTTGCTTTATTCAGCAAGTCAGTGGAGCTCAGCATGCATAGATCAGTTATTATGAAATCACCTCATGGAGATAGTCTCTACTACTTTGTATTGCTTTGCATTTGGACAAGTAGAAGACAAGATGAGCACGTTCATGCCCTCTCTGAGCAACTTTTCAAACTAAGATTGTTTAGTTCAGTCTGTTAATTAAGGCCTTGCCTACACAAGGGATACTCATCTGCAGAATGAAATCTAATTATGCAGGCAAAGTGAGCTTTATGTGGATACATGCTGGCATCAGGATGCTTTTATTCACCCATCTTTTGCCAGCTCTTTCCTCCTCTCCTGCAGTCATTGCAGCCCTGTCTTCCAGTCCCATCCTAAAAAGCATTTGTGTACCTGTGACATGAACCTGATGTTCACCTAAAAATATCAAACCAAGTTGCTAATTCAGCTAGCAGTAGTACAACATTTCGATTCAAACCTGATGTGACCATCTTTAATTACTTTTATTCTGAGTCAAAGTACATGCTATTCAATTCAGAGATCAATGTTTCACCTTAAAATTGATATAATGTACAAATTATAATTTTCAACAAAATATTGTTTTCATTGGCTTTGACTTTGAGTTGGAATAATTTGAAATAATTAAAATAGTTAATGTGGAAAAATAATTCAAAAGATAATAGTCAGATAATAGGGAGAGAAACAAATGTTTTGTAGCAGTAGAGGAAATAACAATGCAGGGATCAATAAAAACAACTAATTTTTTCTAGAAAAATATTCTGTGAAGAGTTTTTGTATTCTGATATCATAGACCAAAGTTAACAGAAACCAAATGAGAACTGTAAGATTTTGTGGGGTATTAAACTTAGAGATAATTTTCAAGAATTTCTGGAGGTGATTTCTAAAATAAAGTGATCTTATTCCAACCTCTGAAGTTATCACATTTTCCCATGAGCTATGGCATTGGAGGCTGGATTTTGCAGGAAAACTGTCAAAAGCATGCAACTCTATGGACCTTTTAGTCTCCTAAGTGTAGACACAGAAAAGTATTATATGATTTAATCAAATGAGTAAGTTTCATCTCAATATCATAGACTGAAATTTCATTTTGTAGTGCTAAGGTTCCTATTCTGAATTTTGAAATGAAAAAAATTTGAAAATCAAATAAAATTTTCAGCTTTTACTCTTTCTGTATTTCATTCATTCTAGGAAATTAAAAAGCCATTTGGTTTTATTTTTATTTTAACTTCTAATCAATTTGCAATTTTGCACTTGCCCAAACCATACCCTAAAATTAATCCCTTTATGAGCACTAAAAGAAAAGAAGAAATCAAGAGTGAGCGCAGATTGCACGAAGTTTGGTAAGGAGGAACATATTTATGGAAGTAGCTGCTTGTGAACAAATCCAACTTTAAATTACACAGAGAAACATGTTTTACAAAGCAGTATTCATCCCTGCTATGTAGTCAATTAATAAGAGTCAGTAAGATAGTGGAAGCACTAACAGATGTCTGAAAGACAGAACTTCTGCCTCACTGACTGGCTCTGGATCCTGGGCTGAATTTTATGCCCCTCAGCATCTCAGGGGGCAGCAACATCAGGCAGGTTGTGTGACAGGGTTTGGGGATGTGAGAATTCTACACCTCTGAAGATCTGAGCTTCACTGATAATGCTCCAGGGGAAAATATCCTTTGAAGCCTATTTCTGGTTACAGCAGCTTGGCTGTCTCACTTGTGCAAAGATCAGAATACTGCTTGTTGGACTGAATACTTTCTCTTTGTTAACGATATGCCATTTTACAAGTTTTTGATATCACTGTTTCATTTGTAAGGCTTTCCCTGAATGACTGTCTCACACCTACGTATTCAGGAATTTTCCCTTTAAAGTAGTTGTTAATGGAAGCATTTTAATTTCTCTTTTGGCATGGCCCTTGATAGTCATGAGCTATGACTGATATGGACTCACTACAGCAGCAATGAAGGAATATTCACTCTGTTGAGTGAAGACAGCACAGGACAAGATGGTGAGGTTTCTGATATTTTCTAAACTATTTTGGAAAGCAGCTGTACACCTGTCCATAGGCAAACCTTTTGCTGTTTCACGCAATGTGCTCCATGCCACTTGTT